GGTACGTCCTTAACGGAACGGGTGGAAAATATTACGTGGGAAGGGCTGGGGGTACAATACGGACTTTATCAAGGTGTTTTGGCAGTTAATCTTGCCTTTGGCAGTGGAGAATAAGGTTCCGCCAGAAGACATGATCAAGAGGGTGTTTGTGTTTAGCGATATGCAATTTGATGAGGCAGAGACAAATACGAGTGGTTGGTGTGATGAGGTGGAAGGGGAGCTGGGCCTAACTCATCAGCAGATTGTGCAGCAGGAGTTTAGGAAACATGGGTATGAGGTGCCTGAGTTAATCTATTGGAACCTTGCGGGGAATCCAGGGGCGGTGCCTGTCACGTCCCAAATGGAGGGTACAGCGCTGGTGAGCGGGCAGAGCCAGGCGTTGATGAAGTTGTTTTTAGAGGATGGAGTATTTGGAGAGGAAGAGGATGATGACCAAGAAGAAAGGGGAGAAGAGCAGGGGCCGGACGTGGTGGAGGGCGATGGCGATGGGGAGTGGGGAATGATTCACAAAGAAAAAAAGAGAAAAAGGAAAGGAGTCGATCCTATGAGCATTCTTCGAAAGCTTGTTGGAAATGAGGCATTTGAGATGTTGAGAGTTGTGGATTAAGTGAGTCCTATATTATATATGCTGTCAATGAGTGAGTGGGTTGGGAGGATGAGCCATAATTCAGATGTAGAGAAACGAGATAACGAAGCAAAGAGGATTTTGATAAACTGAATCGAGCTCTTCTTTTCTCCTACCCCCCTTCGGCGCAGATTTCCAGCTTCCTATACTATTGATATCATTCTTAATCTGCGTTATTTCTATGGCGGGAAAAAAAAAAAAAAAAAAAAAAAAAAGAATACATCAGCCTGAGCGCACAAACTGTTCAGGTGCTGAAATGTAGATAGCACCATTGAATAATGAAAAGGAACCATCAAATATCCATAAATCCCACTTCCCCGGCATGTGCCAGCTTCCCACCTATGTTTCTTGCTTTCCTTTTGTCAAATTCCCCATTCCTTATCAATGACTAACAATGTTATCCTGTAACAGCTTAAAACATTCAGGAATCTCGCCGGTGATGGCGGTGTTTATGCTGATGTCTATTTCCATAGCCATCATTACTACTCTCATCGCCGTAGTCGTCATCATCTTTCTTATACCGGCGACGGTAGTCATCATCATCGCCATCTCGTCTGCGGTCACGGCTGCGGTCACGGCTGCCATGGCGACGGTCAACACTGCCATAATGCCCGCTTTCGTAACGGCGGGAAGCTCTTTCGCGAGACCCAGAGCGCTCACGATGCTGGTGAGATGACCTTTCAGATTCCTGTTGATAACCGTAACCTCCTCGGCTCTCGCCTCCATAGCCACCGCCATAGCCACGAGTTTCACTACCGCCGTAGCCGCGAGACTCACCACCTCCATACCCTCCACCATATCTACTGGAATCTTTCTCCCCATAGCCACGGTTCTCGCCACCATAGCCTCCAGAATGGCCACCATATCCTCCCGCTTCGTATCCGCCAGAGCTTCCCCTATCATGTCTTTCGAATTATGGGGGAAAAGGTCAGCTTGCATATAACTAATCAAGGATTGGGGTGAACGGCCGGCAAAATAAAAGGGAGCAAGTGAAATAATAGGAACCGTTGGGAGAACTTTAGCCAATATTCAAAAACGAACCTTTCTTCACTACGCCCATAGCCACCAGTTTCAGCATATTGCGGCTGACCATATTCCCCGCTTTGGTGCCTTCCTGATTCGTACCCACCACCGCCCCGATCATCACGTCGATAGCCGTCGCCGTGGTTGTATTTCTTACTTTCTTTATATTTTTTATCCTTGTCAGCTTTCTTGTCCTTTTTATCCTTCTTATCCCCATCCTTATCCTTATCATCTTCGTCCTTGTACTTGTCCTTCTTGTGTTTCTTATCCTTATCTTTCTTCTCATGCTTATTATCCTTATCCCGCTTCTCTTCTTTATCCTTCTTCTTTTTCTTTTCTTCTTTCTCGTAATCCTTGTCCTTGGAATAAGAAGAATGATAATAAGGGTCTGAGTGATGGTCTTTCTCCTTTTTCTCCTTATGGCGCTTACCGTCGTCAGGTCCTTCGAATGTACCGCTTGTTGCTCCACCAACTATGCCTCCCACCAAACTCCCAATCAGCCCACCACCAACGGCTTCAGAGGCCATCTTCTCGATGTTTGACGTGTTCATTGAAGATTTGCCCCCTAAGCCTTGAAGGCCAAACAAATCCTGAACGCCTCCCGGAACGGGGCGATTGCGGTTAGGGAGGCCCATGGGCTTGCCGCAGCCGTGGCCAGAGTCGTGAACGCCGGGCTTATGGTTATCACCATTCCGCACACCTTCTCTGCTGAGCTGTTGGCGGAGTGAGTCCTGGCCGCGACGACCTTGCTCGTTCCACCAACTCTCGATAACGCCGAACATAGTTCTACGCATCTCTTGTGAACCATCTTCGCCGTACTGACGCAGAGCAGGGTGGTGGAAGACTCCATTAATAATCCTATTCATTGTGCGGTTAACATCGATGCTCTCGTCATCCCAGCATTCCATGATCTGCGGTACAACCCATTTCACAACTTCCGAGGCAGCCTCTGAATATTATAGTTTGGTTAGTATATCAACTTTCAATGGCTTGAATAAAGGGCGAAATAGTTTTGGCGAAGATCTAGAGAATGAAACATGAATAGAGGGGGTATATCCTAATAGAAAAATGTACTGACTTCCAGCAGGCTCGTTCAAGAGGTTGCTAAAATGATCCTTGGAAAGCATGGAGTGAGTGGGGTCGGTGCAGCGATCGTTATTGAATGTGTTAAACTGCCCCTCCTTACTGCTCTGAATGACTTCTGATGACCCGATTTCAAGCTCAGCCTTGACCTGTTTGAGAATCGGGAGAACGTAAGGGGCCATAACAGAAAATACAAAGATAGTAATCTGTTCCTGCACTTGCTCAACCAGTTCTGGGATTGCAGGGATCTTCTCAATCGCGTTGTTGATCGATTTCATCAAGTTGTCATGCCATTCCAGGAGTGGGAACATTTGTTGTTGAACATCATTCATGTAAGTAGCCCATTGTTCAGGTTCGCGAGGAGAAATGTTCTCGTTCCGCTGCTTCGTAGATTCAGCGTTGGACTGGAACTCATTCATTTTTTCTGTGTTGTCCTCACTCCCCAGGAGACCCTCAGGGATCTTATCGAGTAGAACTTGGAGAAATCCTTCCTGTGGTTTTTGGTTTTCAGATTCTTCGATCATCCCTTCTAGGTTTTGAATTTCTGACTGTGTCGCTTTATCGGAAATTTCTCCCATAACACTATGGAGGAAGTCCACTACAGGTTGAGAACATGCTAATGCGGCAACTATATCTCTGGGCTATTTCCGCTACCATCAGGTGATCCGTTTACTCACCACCGCCAAATGTGCCGGTAACGATAGGATAAACAGAATTTCTAGCTCCCTGAAGTTGAATCATTGCGTTTCTCCCGACATGTGGGAAAACATTGGTCTCGCCAAGCTCGATCAAAGAAAGCTCCGTATAGTTGCTATGGGCGAGGTAGTCTTCCAGGGTGTGTCTAAAGTAATTTAATCAGCCAGTGAAATAAATGCACAGCTTATAAACCCAGTAGACTATGCTCTTGGGAAGGGATTTTTAATAGGGGTTGTTGCATGGAACTGTCTAAACCCCTTATCCCATCAAGTGTACGGCACTAAAACTTACAAGCCAGTTCCAAGGAGCCTCAGAGCTTCATATAAGTCGGCATCTCTGCGGGAGCGTGAATATCTGCGGCCCAGCTCAATGCAGTTGCCGAACACTTTTCTAAGGAGAGAAGCGGAATTGTCGATACCCAAGTCCTCGGATGCGATGTAGTTCTTCAAACCTAGAAGCAAATAGACACGGTCAGCCGCAACAGTATAAAATACTAGTAGAGATTGACAATTCTTGTCTTACCCGTGCGAGCATCGACGCCTAACTCCCTCTCTTCGTCAACAGGGCCTCTGAGGTGCCTATAATATCGGCGTGCGTCTTGACCCTCGCCATATCCCAATGGGTTATCGATATGCTCGGTAGGTTGGTAACATCCGATGCGGTCCAGAGTAACCTCAAACTCTCCCGTGCCGTACCTAAACAAAAACCATATTTTAGGGATAGTTCAAGAATTCTGGGACATCCAACAACATACAACAGGGAAGAAAAAGGAAAGAGAAGAGAGAGAAAGAAACAGGCATGAAAATATATATATATATATATATATATATTATTACCCAAAAGTCATGATTCCCAAGACCCAAAGGAGAAGCCTAATAGTCTCTGCAGAGACATATTTCAAAGTACCAATGTCGAGAGCCTGGGCTATAATCCTTGCAAGAAAGTTAAATTTTTGTCCGAAACCTTTCGAAAGGAGGGAAGTATCAAAACTGTACCCGAAAGCCAATTTCCAAAATAAATACGCTGAACCCTGGAGTTTTGAAAAACTCTTCCCGCCCGCCGAAGCGGGCCATCATCAACGTCAGGATCGCATCCTCGATATCGCCATGGCGCCAATTCTGGCCCTCTATCTTAGATACGGAAGCAATGTTGCCAGCCCCGAAGGCGTGGACAGGGCGGGTGAAGAGAAGGAAAAGCACGCATGTCAGCGCGACGGTGGTGGTGGTCGACCAAGCCATTGTGTTGCAGCTGTTGCTGGATTGACAGAGACCAGGCTTAGATGGTCTCGAAAAGCTTTTGAGTGAACGGGCAATGGATTATGTTAAGAATGAGTTCGGTTGGTGTGGTGGATGTGGTGGTTTTGTTTTTATGCTACAGCTTGGTGAAGATAGCCCCGCTATCACAGCTTAAGGGGGATAAATGATCCTGAGCAAGCCCGTGGAGAAGTGAAAGAGAGTCGAGCTCAGGAGCAATCAATGTGAGGAAGAGCGCAAGAGCGTAAAGTGGCAGTGGCAGGGAGGTGCAGAATGGAAGACACAGAGATAAAAGGACGACGCAAAGAGGGGGAAACAGGCGAAGAGGAACAACAAGGGACACCTGTGTCTTCCGAGGATTCGGCGTTGATGATCAGTTTCAGGCCCTGACCGAGGCGGGGAAGAAGGTGGGGTGGAGGGGCAGACAGACAGACATCCTCAGCAAGCCATCGACAAGCCATCAGCAGCCACCAAAGCAGGCGATCTATACGCAGTGGCCCTTGTATACCTGTATACCTGTATACCTGGGTGAGAACCAATGGCAGATCACTATCCCAGCTCCAGTTGGGCACCCTTCAACACATAGTTAGTTTGGTCCTTTGTATGGAGTATGTATGTACTTTCTGCATATCTTCTTACGTCTGGGTTTCAAAGAGCATGCCTTGTTCCTTGCTTCCTGGATTCCCGCCAGCGCGCCCTAGAGTATCTACTTTACTGGACATGCACAAATAACCGCAGGATGCATCTACGAATAACCAAGTTTTTCTAGTGCTTAGCGATCGGGCGTCGATCCAACTCCTGCTACGGAGTACTTCACTACAAGGGCGTTGGTTGAAACTAGGATACAAGTTGCGACTTCGTTTAGTATGAGGAGGGACGGAATGTCAGACCATCCCAAGGGGTATATAGATAAACGCGATCCTCTTTTTATAGACGTTGAACTCCAATTTGCTAGCAAATCCGTCCGTCCATTTACCTAACCTATCCACCAAGTATTTTTAAACGTCCCAGCCTAGCACAATAACGGTCAAAACTAGGGGATAATAATGTCAATAATGTTCAGTGAAGAAGAAAAACCAAACCAAATCAGCACTTATCCCCATCATCCCACCCCGACTACCAAGAACAAAACAACAATAGAAAAATAAAGATAATAAAAAAATGAAAGGAAAAAAAAAAAACGAAAAGCCAAATTTAAATACAAAAAGTATCACTCAATTATCCCCTGTCCCCCTCTCTAACAAAAACACGAACGTTGCCTTCCGCCCCTGCACATGCGTTAAATACGCATCCAACTCATCATCCTCATCAATCACATACTTCGCATCCCTATCCGTCCCTTCAATCCTCGCGATCCGGGCATCCTTGAACCGGCTCGTCACCACGTTCCGTAACTCCTCCGACGTGCGCGTGGTCAACTTATCCACCCACGTCTTCGCGTTCTGGTGGATCTGCGACTGCGGGTGGATACGCGGGTAGATTGTCACTTGGACGAGGGACGTGGAGAGCAATGGGTCCACGTAGCTGAACGGGTGTTGTTGCTGCCGGGGTGGTCAAGGGGTCGTGATGATGGTTTTCATTTGGCGATGTTCTGGATGATCCCTGATCGTGAGGATGAGGATGAGGATGACGGTTTGAGTTTAAGGAGAAGGATGTGTCGTTGGCAGCCCTGCAGGAGGGACGGATCTATTTGTAGGTCTGTGATGTCGCTGGACATCATGGGGGAACTGGCGAGGGCTTGGGAAGCGAGTGTGCTGATGCCGTTGCGGATGGCTGGCGGTCGGGTGTAGGCGGAGCTAGGGCTGCTCTGTGCAAGTTGAACAGTATTGCTAACGTTGTTGGAAGTGGAAGAGGAGGACTTTTTGCGGGAGGGATCGCGCTTCGAGATCTCATCTCTAAGTCTCTTATTCACATCCCTGCAGAGTATCTCAATGGCCTTGACTTTTATAGCGTGGTTTGGATCGGCTTCGCCAGGGGTCAGGATGTTCTGGAGCAATTCGGAGTCCCTGATCCATTTCTCTTTAAGCTCACGCCAGTGTTCATCCCCAGCTTCTAGCTTGCTCGTGAAATGGTCTTCTTTGAGAGTCTGATAGAACGCATTCCGAATCTGCCTGCTCTCCTCAGGGTTGATCCCGAGTGCATTCTTCGCCTCCGCAATAGTCATCCTCCGCTGCAGTGTCCGCATCCGCTTCGTGACATCCGTACACACAACATCCAAGGCCAACGTCTTCGCCTTGATCTGACCAGAATTCGGCCAGAACACACTCCGCAGATGTGGAGACTCATCAATCAGCCGATTCTTTGCCGCTTGCCACTTTTCCGGTCCCGCAAGCGTCTTCTTAATGAACCCAGCCTCTTCACAAATACGCTGAAAATGGTCCCGCAGCTGACGATACATCTCATTATCCAAACTCAGATATTGTTTGCTCTCATCAATAGTCGTCTCCGACGGGAACCGCGGCGGCCCCGGCGGGTCTGCAGGTAGGCCAGCCCACCCTCTTGTTCTCCGCCGTCTCTTCCGCGCTGCCCATCTCTCCTCACTCTCCGCTTGTAAGCGCTCCAACCTTGCCTTCCTCTTCGCTAGTACCTCCGGCGACAGCCCAGGCGACGGGGCCCGCTGTTGTGGCTCGATCCCTCCGAGATCCGTCACGATCTGTGGCCCCACAGCCTCCATGCTCCCATCTGGTTTATATATCTCCTGCTGGAGCGCCAGCAGACCCTCATCACCCTCCAGCGTCGCCGCCGTCGGAGCCGTAGCAGGAATTGTCGCAGTTGTCGCGGCGGGCATTGTCGACTGCGCCTTCATGCCGTTGGGGACACGCAACAGCCATCGATTCTTCGCACGGAGTCGCATCAGTTCGCGCTCCTTGATCTCATACCCTTCCTCGTTGAGTATTCGTAGCATGTCCCGTTGGCTTGTGTTTCGCTCCCACAGCTCCTTGACGCGAGCGACGAGGCTTGCGTTCTTGTGGGCTGGGTTCTGTTTCGAGGGGAACCCCCATCGTTTGAACTGGGTTTGGAAGGCGCGTTTACTATTGTGTTTAAACGGCCCAGTTGGGGCATACCCAGGTTAATTTCTCTGTTTCGGCGTACAGAGGGGGAAATATTACATATTTTTTTTGTATACCAAAGAGATTCAAACTAATGATATGATATATAAAACATAGATGAGGTTATCCTGCGAGGGAGGGCGGGGGGGAAAAAAAAAGCCGAACATATAATAACAAACTCACCTTGGTGCAAACTGGTAGCACACTTTCATATGCTCCATAATCTCCTCGAGGGCCTTCTTATCCTCGATATACATCTTATAGCAGATGTCGCGTTTGCCATCCCAGTCGTACACCATTTTTACTTTCCCTTATATCTTGCTATAAATTTCTCATTTTATGTTCAATGGTGCTATCAGAAAAAAAAATTTTTTTGCCCCTCCACTTTTCCCCTCCCGGCATGCGTGCGTGCGTGCAAGCTGTTCAGTGCAGCTATACACTGCGCTTTTCTAGCTGCTCTGCTCTGGAACCTAGTGCTCGGTATTCGATGGATCGATCAACGCGAGATATCGTGTCTTTGTGGTCTGCCGTAGAGGGGGGGGGGGAGGAATGAAGTTGTCGGTGGTTGTGATCTACCGTAGTCAAACTAACTTACTGTACGTCGATTCATTGGATTATATAAGCAGGGAGAGCGGATGCCAGGACCAATAGTTAACCTCAAAATTCAAAATTCATTTATTTGCTTGCCAACCGCCGACACGCAGTACTTCGTCTGGAGGGAAAGTAACAAGAATATTGACTGGTCAACCGGTCTGGATTTTGCTAGGCTACCTGAAGAAACTAATACTTTCAAAAATGCCCCAAGATATTCCTATTGAGTAAACTGCGATGAATGAATGGAAGCTGGCTAACCCTTGCATGAACTAAAAGTCACAGGAAAACATTCCAACACAACACGCGTGGTTGATAAATAAACCGAAACAAAACCGGATAATGATGTTACTGTTTCCCATCCCTTGATCCAACTAAAACGCCCAAGAAAAATATGTTTGTTGCTAGAGCGGAAGGGGAACAACAAAGGCTATCAAGGTAAAAATCAAACAAATAAACCCAATTGGTAACCCGCAACCATTTCCTCCAGAAAATGACAAGAAGGCTGTAAAAAAGGAACAAATGCAGAAGTCCGACAGAAAAGTAATGAAGGAACCTGTCCATCCTCGCATGAAGGAAAGGAGAATGAAGAAGAGGACCAAAAAAAAATAGGTCACGTCCAGCTTAAACGCCTGAAGAACGCCGTACCAAGGTTCACAGCTAGAATCGCGTACAGCTGCGATTTACTTACTGCTGTACATAGAACGAGGGCGCTATATATATGTATATATATGTATGTATATAGTAATTGCCCTGGTCGCGGATCCCGCCGAACTTCACAATGTAAAGAGAGCAGCCGAAAAAAAAAATTAAAATAAAATAAAAATAAACAGAACACGTAGAGAGAAACGCCGGGCCGCTTCATCAATGTCGTTATAGGTATAGGTAGCAATAAATTTCAAAGTTGTCATGAAACCAAACGAAGTCATGCCTTTTTCTTCTTCTTCTTCATGCTCAATTTCCTGCTCATTTTGAACAGCTTTGTCCGCAGCCAGGTGATAAATAGAACCCAAGCACTCTTCGGGCTTTCAAATGTGCGGCTGGGGTTGTTATGCGTAAAGGCATAATCGCCAGTCGCATTATCGCGCTTCTCACTCATAGGCTTGCGTCCTGAATAGCGACCTTCAGAGGAATTTCGTTTCTCATGGGAACGCCTACCCAGGGAAGAAGTGGCGGTTGATAGTGAAAATTGATGCTCCTTTTTCTCCTGCCGTCGAAGTTCACGGTCCTGGGCCTTCATATTTTGCTTGTCCAGCTTGCGCTGTTTGGCGGCCTCTTTGTCCTCAAAGGCTTGTCGAGCAGCCTCGACTGCGGCTGCTCTAGCTGATGGATCCGTATTGGTGCGGGTTCTTGAACGGAAGGTAAAGTCGAGAGAGCTTCTTGATAGGGGCGAAGGGGCCTCATAGCTCTCCCGAGCATGGTTTGACAGAACTGACGAAGAAATATTTGTAAACGAGCTAGGATGAATCCGATAAGGCTGGGGTTCCGATGGCTGCGCGAAAACGTCTCGGTTGGAGGACGCAGCATCATCCAAATCTGCACTGAACTGGCCAATATCTGTAGATTGCTCACTTTCAACGACCGAATTTTGATAGGACTGGCTTATGGGTGGCGTATAGGGACGAGGGGTCTGGCGCATAGGATGAACGTATTGCAATCCCGGTTTAAGTGTGCTAGATGCGGTTGTGGCAGAAAATTGCGATGTTCCACTTGTAGATCTATTGTGGGAGGTGGTCCCGGCTCTTCGAGACGTAGCAATATCTCCATACCTCCGATCTCGTTCGAGATTCGTATAGATCCCTAGCCCTTCGTTCTCAAGGGTAGACCGGTCAAGATTGATAGATGCTGAGTCGTTATGGTTGGACCTCTTGAGATGCGATCTGACATTGCCCTTAGGCTTCATAGATCGTTCTTTGTCAAGCTTGGGGCTGAACCCAGGGATAAAGCGGTCATTTCGTAACCCAGAGTGCATCATGGCAGAGGAGTTGCCATGTATCCACGTTTGTTTCAATGAAGATTGTGAAGGAGAAACGGTGTCGTTGGCTAGTGAAGCAGTACGCCTCTCGTGGGCTGATGAGAAAGGTTTCGAGTCTTCCAACCCGGCCAGTCGTGAGGGAGAACTTGCTGAACGATGAGAGGGACGGCTTTGTCGTCGTGTACTCACAAAGCGCGTAGCTCTCACGGCGGTTCTGGCGTCGTCGTCGTCGTTTATATATCCAAAAACTTGGTGGGGTGGGTTCAGAGAGGTCTTTTTTAACCTGGGAGAAGCCATGCTGGCGGTGGATTCCAAGATAAAGATAAGTTCCAGTAATATTATACTTTTCGTATATAGTTTCTAGAGAGCTATCTATGGTGCATCGAACTCAAGTTAACATATCTTGGGGATGCAAGGTAAGCTGCTTTTAGGGTTAAGGTTGTTTTTTGACACTTCCCAAACTGGCGAACCGTCAGCGGTCGGCGGTCGACGGGTGAGAGCCGCAACCTTCGGAGGAGATATCGCGAGCGTTTGCCAAAACCGGGAGGGAAGATTCCGAATACAAATGGATCAAGATTTAAAGATATGTTATTTGGTTATGTTGGGCTGTTCGACCGTAAGGCTTCAAGAGAAGCGGTCGTATAGAAGCTCAAAGTTGAACGAGCGAAACCATGCAGAAGAAGCAGCAGATTCATGCTGCTGGTCGAAGTAATAATAAAGATGCGTCGATTGAAGAAAGGAAGCCAAATGTCGCGTGAGCCACGCAGTCCACATCAAACTGGACAGCCGGAGCAGTGCTGCTGCCAGGGAGCGGAGGGAGAGGAGATATGTTGAGAAGATGTTGAGAAGTTGGCAAGCGGCTTTCCGCCGTCGGCTGCAGAGCAGTAGGGTGCAGCGCACAAGTGGGCAATAAATACGCCCCGGCCCTTTCTGAGGCGCAATCCGGAAACGCCAGTGTGGTACCGGCTGTACGCGATGTTTTGTCAATACCGTACGGTTATTTCGCTATGTATGTCCTGGGTGTTTGGTAATGCGGATACCGCCCCATTACCAATACGCCACTAGTGGCTCGGCTGCTTGGCACATGCTCGCATGCTGATTAGCTCAGGCGGGATCTCAGTGCGGCGGGATGCGGCTCTGAACAGAGTTTGGGATGCGGAAATCAAATCATCATCAAAATGTGGAGAGTTTACAAGAAGAGCAACAGGGTGACTGAGATTGGGAGTCAACGGACAGCACTCAAGGTTTTTGAATTTTCGGCTAGGCCCCGCAAACAGCTGCTCCAGCCCAGTTTTTTAGTTGCACGGAAAACGTAATAAATTCTACAGAATAGACAGACGCGACAAAGCAGCTCTTGTTCCCCAACACGTTGTTTCAGCCCCACCATTTTTCCTGTATCTTGTCTATCCTCAAAAAGGAAAAACCAAAATGGTACAATAGCCAACGATGCCACTCAAGAATGTTAATGTTACAGCTGGCGCTTGTTGGAGATCGCACCACATCCATCCATGCGGATATAAATGTATCCAGGGTGTGGTAGGAACCAGCCACTCAGCCACCGTGTCTCACATACAGTATGAACTTACTTATCCTGACGGAGCACCCAGGGCCTACCATCGTACATCGCGGCGTGCTTGAACACGCCTCCAATACACAAGCAATAGTGGCTGAAAACACAATCCTCCACACGCATGTTTTGCTGGCAAGCAACCCGCCGGGCTGGAACCAGTGCCTTCGCCCCGGATTCCACATTCGTTGAATGGACAGCTTCGGTGAAATCCCATCCAACCCGGTAAATTATTTTTAATCCTCCCGAATTCCATATTAGGATGTTCTCAGTGGCAAAATGCCACGCGATTTACGTGTACATTCATGCTCCTCATTTCCGTCGCGGGCGTCTGTATTTATTCTTTAATTTAAGAGGCTGTGGACAAAGCTCCCGAAAATCCCAGATGGAAGAGCCTATTTACCAAGATTGCTATTCTTGTCGCAGCCCACCCCGCCAAACCCCTCCATCGATTTCTCCATTTTCTGAGGCCATGAGCTGCCGCATCACATGCGCCCCAGGCCTGTGGGGGGAAGAGGGGTGAGGTGAGCGCGGGGTGCGTTGCATTCCTCCCCCACTATTTGTACTTTATCCGCAGGAACACGACGGAACGTGAGAGGTCATGGAATCGAGTTTTTTCCAGGCTTCACGCTTCTCGTATCTATTATCTATCCATGGGTGCCCAACGCCACATCGCCGTTCTGATTCACGGAACGGCAACGGCCCATGAAACCGCGCTGCTATATTTAAATACATTGAACCTTCAGGAGATAGTTACTGGGTAAATATTAAATCATCAAGATAAACCGACGGCGAGGAATTGACTTTTTGCTTCCGCTTTTTCTTTTTTTATACGTCCGCTGCCTCCACACCGTAAATTCCCGGCGAATCAACCACAAGTTTTGCATTTGGTTGAAGTGAACGTCAGGTCACTTGAAAATTGAATCGAATAAAACTGGATTACTTTTATTATCCCCCACCCCCTGCCCATGTTTGATGTCTACCAGTGTTGGAGATGTTGGTTGGAATCGGCACTAACTCCATTTCCTGATTATATTCTGAATTAAACGGCTACGCATCTCTAGGGCAAATACGATAGGAATGTATAGATTCTCCAAGTACACTGTGTACCAACCTGAATTATATATTCCCTGCCAAAAAGGTATATTGGGGTCATGTCTCAAAACGAGATTCTAAACACCAAAGCCTGCGTATCAAGATTGAAACCGGAAGTATCCGCATACTTGAATTTTCCAAAATTCAAATGGCCTAGATTCCCAAATGCCAGGAAAATGTCAGCATGTCATGGATAACAAAAAGCAATGAATGAAGCTGCGCGGTGGTGGTTGTGGGGACAGACCGTCTTGAGTGATATAGTCATTGTCACTGAAACTAATCAAAAAGTATTCCTGCAATCCTCCTTCGCCATGACTACAGCCCTTCTTATCACAATCCCGCTCATCAACCGGAACTAGAGCCAGGCTCTCCCACTTCTCATTCAGCAGCATCTTGTCTTGTTCGCCGCCGTTGTGCAGACCGAACTTGCCCAACTCTGACTCGAGGTTGTAATCGATAAATTCGCAATACTCGGCTGGTTCGATCCCGTCTTTCAACTCTCCCTTGTCCGAAGCAATCGAGCCGGTAGCGGCATCGTATTTCTCAGATTTGATGTCCGTCGTGCGGTTAGTGATTGCGAAAATGTCTGCCTGGCGGTAGACAGAGCGTGACTCCTTCTGGCCATGCCCGGAACCCGAGTCTCGCGATAGGATCAAGAAGTCTCCACCGGGCAGCATGTGAATTTCCGACTGTGAAGCAACAATACGAGACTTCTCCTGGTCTTCTTCCGACCTATCGGGGTACGTTGGAAGCGTGACGACGTACTCATGTATATACCGCGGTTTGCAGCCTGAAATATCATACTGTAATAGCCGTGCCTGTTTCCGATTCTTCTTCTTCGGCCCGCCCTCCTGGTTCAGACCTGATTGGATCATGACAAACAACTCCATGCCGTCTGGCGAGAGTGTCAACGCTTCGAAGCCCTGGTTGTTGTTCCGCCCTGATTCCGTGTCTTCAGGTACGGGCAACTTCTCTGGGTCGTAGATGGGTGGGGATGCGGCACTGAAGCTGAGACTCCCATTTCGACGTGGGAGATATGCTTCGGGTGGTTGGATTGCTTGGATCATTTTACCGTCACGCGTGAACTGGTAGATGTATGGCCCGTATTCGTCAGATACCCAGAAGCTTCCTCCCACGCCCAAGGCGAGACCCTCAGTATCCATAGTGATGCGGCGTCCGCTTGTTCCTTCTTCGCTGCCGAACCCGTCGCCAGAGTATGTTGCCCCTGGCAGGGGTGGGGAAAACGGGAAATTCTATGAAGCCGGTCACATCTGCATCGAGACTGTCGTGGGGGTTCCGTCGGGTCCCGTGAGAAGAACGGTGTCCACATGCTTTATTTGGAGATTGGGCTGGGAAGGCTTCTTCACAGATGCCTCACGGGAAGGCTTGAAGGAGAGAGACAGCTTCTGGATACGTGCCTGGACATTTAGGGTCCCATTGGTATTCCTAAGATATTAATTGTCAGCTAATAAGTTATCCTGGTATGCCTAGGGAGGGCTATGCTAGGGAAAAGCAAGTCCTTCTCACCATCCACGATCCGGTAACGCCCATGCGATCCCTTCATACGTGCCATCTTCCTTCCTGTGCCATGAAGATTGCTCGATAGCCAGGGCGCCACCAATTCCGCCCATGGTATCACCGTATTTGTCAACGGCATTCGACGGCACAAATCCATATCCCTCTAACCCATGGTAATTATACGTATTACCTCCGCAAGTTACCTTCTTGGCCAGATTCTTATCCTTACTCTTGTGTGGAGGAGGTCCAGCATTGGCGACAGCCAAAAGAGCGCAAACGCAGGACAACGATGTAAACCAAAGGGGCCGCATGATGGGATTGCTAGATGGCGAAGATGCTCATGTCCTAATGCAAAGGACTTACCTCGAAAAATCGATTGCGACGATCTCCTTATGTAGGTGCCATAGGTCTGGGAGCTTATTTATTTCAGCCCCCTGCTGTACTAATGATGGGAATATCGTTCTCAACAAGCATGCCTGTCAATTTTCCAGCCATTAAGGTAGTCACAGGAAAATTACAGCCAATCCCACAACATATCTTCGCCATCCCCAATGATGTATTGAAGCTAGGTATCCAATAGCCTGGGTTACAGCTTGCAGCAGCAGCTCAGGGGCCTGGAAGCCCCTCTCTCCACATCCATGGGCATCCCGGGATCTTGCCATTTTTCCACCAAAAAATAAAAGGGTTCAAACTATATACTGGGCAGAGTTGTTCTGCCATCTACTAGATCACCATGTGTTGGCGATGTTGGTGGGGCTTTTGGGAAATAGAGAACGTGAGAAGATCACGGCGGCCAATTGGACCAGGCGCACCTAGCTAGTTAATTTCACAGACGCTCAGCCTGACAACGGAGGTTTCCCTCCATCTCTCCCTTTACAATAAGAGAGAATGAAAGATAAAATCCATTCATGTTATGCTAATCTTCCATTCGTCGCCTTTTTCTTTTTTCTGTTTTCTGATGAATGGTCCACTGAAGATTTTGGAGAGTCATCACACTGCATAGAACATTTTCTGCTCACTCTGGAGTATTTACCCTGAGTACTGCAGCCTTGTCGCATTAATTACGTACATTACAATAATACCTTAAAGAAAGCGCCGTAAGGCAATGGCACGCCGTTTTTTACACGAAATTCGAGTAGACTAAAGCCATGCACAAGGAGGTACAGTGCCGGCATATAAGTATATGCGCCACCCCCCCCCACAATGAGGGGTGCCTTTTTGTGGCAGAAAAGGGGGCGGGGGGTTGCCAATACTTATGGCCTAGTACAGTAGCTCATTCCCCAAGTCGTAGCGACATCTGGATAGTTCCTACTGTCCATGCCCTAGGTCTTTATAGATAATATCATCGTCTGTATTGAACAAAGAGAGTACCCATTAGTCAATGCATGGGTCTTACCGATCGGGGAATACTAACAATTGAGTGGATACGTCCGGGATTCATTCTGGTGTTCAAGTTCCTCAATTGCTTCCTCAGCTTCTTCTGGATCATGGTGTGTACCTCCAATAAGAAGGAATTGCGCATTGGGGTAATCCAGGAACGTGGGTTGTAATGGCACCCAGCGAAGGTCGTTAAACTCATCCTGAACCCTGCGGAAAGTCAGCTATGAAAAACACACGAAGGCCAGCAGCCTCTTTAGCCATTTGTTTTTAGAACTGGACTTACTTTTGTGGAAATTCAGGGCCATGAGGCAGTCTGGCCGTTTCAGGCCCAACATACTCGGGATTTTTTACGCTTGCAATGAAGCTGCCATGGCGTCTGAGGCCAATATCTTTCTGAACCTCACCAAGCTCCGACGGGATCGTCAGATAGTATGCAAGGTGCGAAGAGCGACCCTTGGATGCGATCGCATAAACTCCCTCAGCAATGGGAGTTGCGGCAGCGGTATATGTCGTTCCTCGCGTCGCCGTTTGTCTCTCACTCATAAGGAATGAGTCTTTAATGGTTTTCGTGGTGGTGTGTGCCTTCTCCACAAAACCCATAAACCGATCTCTGCTGGATTTCGGAAGCACCTTTTTGGGTAGGACAAGCAATCGGCAATTCTGGTTATCGCCGAGATTGCATTGGCCCAATTTTACGTCGCGAGGAAGTGGTCGAAGGACGATGAAACTCCGTGCCACGTCCGCAATACCCTCCGGTTCCTCGACCCCAACCTTGCTGCGGAAGAAGAAATATATAACACCCTTTTCGAGAACGTTTGATGGGAGACTTCTATCCACCTCACCTGTCTCAATGGCTGTCGGTACTGATGCTCTCTCCTTGCTTCCGGGTTCTGCAACGTTTTCCTTTTGCGGTTGGGATTTCTCGGGAGCTTCGTTTTCGCGTTGTTCCGCTTTGACTGGATCCCTAACTTCTCCTTCCTGTTCTGATTCTTTAGCTTCCAGCAATTCTGTCTCTTTTGTTTCCTCTTTTTTTGGTTCACTAGCGTCTACCTTCGGTTCTGCCTCCTTTGGTGCCTCCTTCTGTTCCAGTCGTTTGGTTTCCAACTTGTCCGGCTCCCTCGGTTCCTCTACGTCTCGATTTTGGGCTCCCTCAATGTTTTGATGCTTGTTTAGCCCAGCGTTGATCGATTCCGTTTCCTCCTCATGTCCTTCCGTAGTTGGTCCCTCCTTACTCTCTCCAAGTTTCCGTTGCTTTATTTCCGTTGGTTTTTCCTCCTCCGCTTTTTCGCGTTTTATCTTCGGAGCTTCCTCCTGTTCCTCCCCCTTCCGCTTCCCGCCAGCGGTTTTCTTCGTACTAGCTCTGGCCCCTTGGTGGAGCGCTTCATTTGCCTTCACAGCGGCCTGCCGCGTTGATGTTCTGGATGCCATCGCAAATGAGTCAAAGCTCTTCGAATGTGCCGTTTATGTTTTGAAAATACCAATTAACGTACAAACCGCGATAGATGCCAGGCCAGGTTTGTGGGAGGTAGTTAATTAGATTCGCAGTCCAGTAATTTGCCATTTTAATACGGAGTAGTGTTGGCACCGGTTGAACGACGACTGACGTCATGCACTTGCCAGGGAACGGCTCTTTGGGTTCCAAGGTTGAGTAAATATTATCATGTGACGTGATCGCAACGAACCCAAAAATAAGTCGCAATGTTGGTTGTTTGAATTTCTATAATTGCAAAACATATCCTTAGGGTAAGAATTAATAGGAAATATCTTGCCATTAGCCTCACTCTATAAGCATTTTGTGACCCATCTAACCAATATCCATCCGTTCGCCTTGTGCTGGAAAGGCTGGCTGGCTCGTGTTAATTTCATGTGAAGCATGTTCCATGCTGGTAATTTCAGCATTCTGAGAATCGGAAGTATCGCCAGTGAATGCACGCCTCCGCCTCCTCCTCCTTCTCCTCCTCTTTCGGGGTTTTCCTGGAGTAAATACCTTCCCGTAGCGTTCAAGATCGATGGTTTCTAAAGATTCAGCGTCCGAGGAGCAATCAGTTGTAGATTGTCCGCTAGATAAATATTTCCCCTTCCTCTTCTGCCTTCTTACACATAATCTGTGGTACTCATAGTCCGTTTCATCTGAATCACAATCCAATTCTCTCATTGCATCAATAAGTCCTGCTTTCACAAGATCATCCATTTCAACGTTGCTCCTGGCCGGGTTTTTCGCTTGGCGTGGAGTCGGGGGCATCGATTCCGCTTCCTCATATTCGTACGGTGCAATTACCTCCACATCCCCATCATATCCAGTATCATGACCAGATATATCCTCTAGCACCAAGGTGTCTCCATGTCCGTCGACCGAGTGTGAAGGGCGTCCGATGGTAGCGTCATTCGAATACCGTTCGGTATCAAATGGCTGCTCTGAAGCGAAGGCAGTGTGATACCTGCCTGGGTAGCCCGATTGTGAGTTGGAGAAGGAGGGGAGTGGGTCACTCCCGTACGCTTGGTATTCATTCGGAACCATATGAACAACATGAGATAAATAAACCAAAGTTTTCAAATCATCTCCGGGCATATGAATTTAACTGGGTTGATGTAATATAATATGTGTTGAAGGGATATGCAGTGAGCGCCTTCAGCTATAAAGCAGATAGTATGGGCGGAATTGATGTCATCGGAACTTGGGTTAGAGACAGGGGAGCGAGATGTATGTCCACCTCGGGCAAGAATCGTATTTATGACAAGAACTCGGTCGGTATCTGGCAACAGGACTTAGCTCTTCGCCACCCCTTTGCCATTGTCTGTGATCGTGGATGGATTGTGGGTTGTACCTAGTTGTGTTGAGTTTGCGAGTCAACCGGCCAATGAGGCTCAAGCCGCTCACCATCTCGCTTAGTCACCACCCGCACCTGCACCACTGGAAACCACAGTGTCCTTGTCCACACGATGAGGAGATAGCGATAGTCGACTTCAGAAATACAACACACAATCTTGCAGGTTATCCTCAAGTGCCAATCCCCCTCTCCCTGACCCAACTTTATGAATCGCCATTAGCAATCGATAATTTTGACCCGTGCGCGGAGCTTATACGTGGCATACGGGTAGCTCCCGCAACATCAACATGCAGTCCTCTCCAAATATGTTGACGAAAGTATGCCGCACATCTTCTCCTCTGGCCCCTTCCCGCCAATCTTTGTGAACGTGCTTCTAATATAACATATACAGTTTGAGTCCAAGTCGTCTCGAGCCAAGGGGATCGCATTCCATCCGAAACGGTGAGCGGTCTATGGAACACTGTTTAACTTTGCAAACCTAACATCCGTAGACCATGGCTTCTAGTGTCCCTGCACTCCTCCACCATCCAATTATGGGATTACCGCATGGGGACTCTGATAGACCGCTTTGAAGAGCATGATGGACCTGTTCGAGGCATCGATTTTCATAAAACACAGCCCCTTTTCGTATCTGGAGGAGATGATTATAGGATCAAGGTGTGGTCGTATCAAACACGTCGATGCCTTTTCACACTCAATGGTCACTTGGATTATGTGCGAACGGTCTTTTTTCATCACGAACTTCCTTGGATCGTTTCGAGTTCCGATGACCAGACTATTCGCATTTGGAACTGGCAAAATCGATCATTAAGTAGGGCTCGCTGGCTTCGACAGTACTTTTGATTGAGCAGATACTGACGTAAGGCACTCCTAGTTTGCACGATGACCGGACACAACCACTACGCCATGTGTGCGCAATTTCACCCAAAAGAAGACCTGATTGTTTCCGCTTCCCTTGATCAGTCAGTCAGAGTTTGGGATATATCCGGCCTCCGGAAAAAACACTCTGCGCCAACTTCGTCGTTGAGTTTCGAAGATCAGATGGCCCGTGCAAATGCGTCCCAAGCAGATATGTTTGGTAATACCGATGCCGTTGTTAAATTTGTCCTTGAAGGCCATGATAGGGGGGTCAACTGGGTCGCATTCCACCCAACACTCCCATTAATTGTATCTGCCGGCGATGATCGGCTGGTGAAGCTTTGGAGAATGAGCGGTATGTCTATTGTCAAACTTGACAAATGGTGATTCTAATATTTTGTTGGCAGATACAAAAGCATGGGAAGTAGACACTTGCCGGGGTCACTTCCAGAACGCATCAGCATGTCTATTCCACCCTCACCAAGACCTAATACTCTCCGTGGGTGAAGACAAAACCATCCGTGTCTGGGATTTGAATAAAAGGACCTCGGTTCAATCGTTTAAACGTGATATTGATCGGTTCTGGGTTATTGCTGCTCACCCCGAAATAAATCTTTTTGCTGCTGGCCACGATTCTGGCGTAATGGTATTCAAACTAGAGAGGGAACGGCCCGCTTCTGCGATATATCAGAACCAACTCTTCTATATTACAAAAGAGAAACACTTGCGGTCCTATGACTTCACCAAAAACGTGGAATCTCCGCCAATGTTATCCCTAAAAAAGCTAGGCAGCCCCTGGGTCCCACCAAGAACTCTCTCCTATAACCCAGCGGAGCGAGCAATTTTAGTCATTTCTCCTACTGATGGCGGAACATACGAACTTATTCATATTCCCAGGGATTCCACGGGTGCTGTGGAGCCAACGGACATTAAAAGGGGGCATGGGACATCCGCTGTATTCGTAGCGCGGAATAGATTTGCAGTGTTCAGCCAGTCTTCTCAGCAAATCGACATCAAGGACCTGAACAACTCAACAACAAAGACAATCAAGCCACCCAATGGAACCACTGATATTTACTTCGGTGGAACGGGTGCCCTTCTTCTCATCACGCCCACGACTGTTGTTCTTTTTGACATTCAGCAGAAGAAACAGCTAGCGGAGCTAAGTGTTAGTGGAGTGAAATACGTTGTATGGTCTAACGACGGGCTCTATGCTGCTCTACTGAGCAAACATAATGTTACAATTGTAACAAAAACCTTGGAGCATGTTAGCACCCTGCATGAGACCATCCGCATCAAGAGTGCCACATGGGATGATGCAGGTGTACTGTTGTACTCCACACTCAACCATATCAAGTATTCCCTTCAGAACGGGTAAGTTCAACCTAACTAAATTATCAGAAGTGGATCGCTGACAGAGCCTAGTGACAATGGTGTTGTTCGCACTCTAGATTCAACGGTTTACTTAGTGCGCGTCAAAGCAAGAAACGTCTATTGTCTTGATAGAACTGCGAAGCCGATAATCCTTGAAATCGACCCTACCGAATATCGATTTAAACTAGCTCTTGTCAAGAGAAATTACGATGAAATGTTACAGATCATCAAAACGTCCAGTCTTGTGGGCCAAAGTATTATCTCCTACTTGCAAAAGAAGGGATACCCGGAGATCGCTCTACAATTCGTCCAGGATCCACAAACCCGCTTTGAACTTGCTCTTGAGTGTGGTAATATTGACGTAGCTATAGACATGGCGAAACAACTCGACCGCCCTAAATTGTGGAGTCGACTCGGTACGGAAGCCTTAGCCCATGGAAATCACCAAACTGTCGAAATGGCATACCAGAAACAAAGGCTATTTGACAAACTGTCTTTCCTTTACTTGGCGACTGGCGATAAAGAAAAGCTCACTCGCATGGCGAAAATCGCAGAGCACCGAGGAGACTTCACATCACAGTTCCAGAACTCCCTTTATCTAGGTGACGTGGAAGGCCGGATACAAATGTTCAAGGAGATTGATCTTCGTATGTTGTCATTATCCTTTTCTATACCATACTCTTGCTGACAATGTTTAGTCCCTCTCGCTTATATGACGGCAAAGTCCCACGGCCTAGACGAAGAAGCCGCGTCCATCCTTGAGTCCTGTGGCCTCACTGAAGAAGAGGTCACTCTGCCATCGCTCGGCAAACCATCGAGCGAGCCTCCGCGAGTTATCGTTCCCACGTTCAAGTCGAACTGGCCGGTTAAAGCTCCGTCCCATTCCTCATTTGAGAAAGCTCTTCTGGGGGAGGTTGGCGAGGCTGTTGCTACTCCCACCAATGGATACGAGCCAGAGGAAGGTGAAGAGGTTGGGGAATTTGGTCGTGATACGTTGGGTGAAGAGCATGACGAAGAAGATGCTGCCGGATGGGACATGGGTGACGACATTAATGTTGAGGATGTAGAGGACTTTGTCAACATCGAGAGTGCTACAGGCGGAGCTGGTACCACAGAAGCGGATATATGGGCGCGAAATTCCCCTCTCGCAGCCGATCATGTTGCAGCCGGATCCTTTGACACTGCGATGCAGTTACTCAATCGACAAGTTGGTGTGGTGAACTTCGAACCTCTAAAACCACGATTCCTTGAAATTTACAAAGCTACGAAGACGTACCTGCCTGCCACAGTCGGACTACCTCCACTCGTCAACTATGTTAGACGAACAGTTGAGGAAACGGATTTCCGACATGTTCTTCCAGTCATCCCCAGAGATCTTGAGTCCGTTGCAAGTATTGACCTCCAAGAAGGTTACGCTGCGATGAAAGCCAACAAACTTGAAGATGGCGTGAAAATCTTCCAGCGTATTCTCCACACAGTGCTCATTAATGTTGTCTCGTCAGAGAGCGAAGTGGAGGAGGCGAAGAAGATCATCACCACCGCCCGGGAGTATATCCTCGCGATGTCAATTGAACTTGAGCGACGGGCAATCGGCACAGACACTCCAGAGAACCTGAAACGGAGTCTCGAGCTATCTGCCTACTTCACCATTCCGAAACTCCAAGTCGCCCACAGACAATTCGCTCTCAGAGCAGCGATGAAACTGGCATTCTCAAAACAAAACTTCTCATCCGCCCTTAGCTTTGCCAACAGGATGATTTCTAATGGCGGTGTCGCCAAATTCATTGATGAGGTATGATTACTTTGAACCCTTATGCCTTACATTCCCAAACATTTGATTCCCACTAGCACAGCTTTATTAACGAAAAACCTAATTAAAACAGGCCCGAAAAGTCAAAGCCCAATGCGAGCGGAGCCCTCAAGACAAGATTGATATCGAATTTGATCAGTTCGCTGAATTTGACATCTGCGCTGCTTCCTTCACGCCAATCTACAGCGGCTCGCCTAGCGTCACATGTCCGTTCACCGGTGCCAAATATCATGAACAATACAAGGGGTCTGTATGTCGTGTTTCGCAAGTAACTGAAATCGGAGCACCGGCGAGCGGTTTGCGTCTATTTGTTTCTGGAAAGTCTTAGACTGTTTTGATTGGTTTTCATTGTTCGACCGATTGAATTTTTTATTTATGTTACTTATTTCCCCCTTTTTAATATGATTTCCTTATATCCTTTCTTTCCTCTTCTTCGAAAATAAAAGTGACTAGGCTTTGAAAAACTATCGAATGAATAGGACATGACTTAAATTTATCTTTGCGTTTAAAATATATCATTTTAAGCTTTTATTTCTCTGTAAAGGTTGATTGTTTGTCTGTTCAGTTTCATTCGAGTGTGAGAAAATAGCAGGATGGCGTTTCATTTCCAATAAAAGCAGATGGAATATTTTTCGTTTTAGCTGCCCATCCAACCGATCTAGTTGGCCATCATTCTACGTGATTTCTAGGTATGACACGGGACATTCCTTCTTGAACGAAGCGAGGCTCATATTATCTACTTCTATCACATTGTGTGTTTTACTTCATATATCAGTATCATTTTAATAACGAGACTCACAAAAGCGATGATAACTCTCGAAAAGCAGAATTGTCAACCAAAAGAGAGAGAAATACGTTAATAGTATGAACATGAAAATCGATATATTTACATAAATAATGTCTATCAATGTCTTTTTGTAGCTACATACATAGGGACAGTCAAAAAAATGCCACATTAGCTTGTAAGTGAGTAGAGATGTTTGGAGTCCCAACCCTCAATGCATCCAGGAACCAACCAAACAGCATGCGCCAGCCAATGTAAAAATATAAACAATGCGGTTTTAAGGAGTTAAGTGCTTCTATTCCCCCATAAACTGTCTCCGTACACATCACAAAGAACGCGAAAAGACACTTACTCTTAGTTAATCATACATCGTCATCCACCTCATCAAAAATCCCCAATCTTGTATCCAGCGATACCATAAACCCACAAAGTAAAAAGAAAGGAAGGAAAAGAAAGAAAACAAGAGTGAGGTAGGGCAGGGGGGGGAGGGGGAACCCATCATCAATCACACCTCCCATCCTTCCACCCCGTCCTCCACCTCTCCTCCCACTTTGCACAATCAAATACATCTTTCCCCAATTTCCGGTTAACTTCATTATGCGCCTCGCACATCCAATTGCCAAACTCCGCTCGCGTTTTTAGCCGGGGCCTATTCGCGCCACTGGGCTCGTTCATCCAAGCTCGAAAATCATCCGCGCATACCCAGCAAGGGTAAAGTTTGCCGAAAAGCGCGAGGAAGCCGCGCATATCGTTTTGTTGTTGAGGCGTGGCGGTTGTTGGGTAGGTGGCTGCCATGCTGTGGAGGAGGGCCCAGGTGCTGCGGCCTAGGGTTTCAACGTCGGGCGGACAGTCTGGTGGTAGGGAGGTGGCTTGGTTTTGAGCGGCTGTTGTTGTCGCCGTTGTTGTTGTTGTGGAGGAGGGAGCGGGAGTGGTGGTAGTGGTGGTGGGGGATTTGCTTTTCATGAGGGCGCGCCAGTCGGAGATTGAGACGCAGGTGCGGCAGCTAGAGCGGCGTTTTTAATCAGCTTATTTTGAACAGTATAGCTACTCGATCGTCCAGGCATAGCTGTAGGATGGTGCGAAGATATCCTAGTACGGTGGTAGCAACCAGCTCCTAACTCTTGATCTCGATACTTACGGCTTTCCGTCCTTACCCAAAACCATTCCCTTGGGCAGCTTTGCTTTGCCCTGGGAGCCATCTTCCTGCTTACCGTCTTCCGTAGCCGAATGTCTTGATTTCTTAGGATGACGATTTTCGTCTCTGAGAGCGTCAAGTTGCTCCGTTAGTATCTCGGCCATGCTGGTAGATCTAAATTTCCAAGCCAATGCGAATAGATCCGAGCGCGAGCCGAACAGCAATTACTTGTCGAACGCGAAATGTTAGGTCAGGCAGATACATGAGTATAACGGGTTTTTAATGTAAATTGGATACTATGATAGTATCATTCATAGATGGCAAAGGCGGAATCAATGCTGAGAAATCATGCTTGATCGGCCCTAGCGGCTCATTAGCTTCTTTGACGTCGTTAGCCCAGCGAACTTTGTTCAACCCCAGAATATGGCATCCATCACTCAGCAAATAACCTGTTAGTGCCGCGATAGCACCTTTTTCTGTAAGAATATCCGGAAACAAAACCGTACAGGCCTATAACAAAGGAAAATCCTACAATATTAACCGCCAACCACTAGTTATCGCATATATTTATCTATGCTATTAACGCGCCCATAACCGTTCAGTCGCGACGAGTCCGACACGGAGCGAAAAAATAAAATAAAAATAAAAATAAAAAACAGGGCGATTCCCATATCCACAATCATGTCTGACTCGGACTCGGACTCCGATTCCGCTTCCTCTACGCGCATTCCTTCCGACGAGATCCTCGAGAAGGGCCTACGCGACACCGTCGCTGCTATATTTAAGAGGGGAAACCTAGACGAATTGACTGTGAAGCGCGTCCGGTCCAGGACGGAGAAAGCGCTTGGTCTAGAGGAGGGATTCTATAAGAATGACGAAGTTTGGAAGGCTAGGAGTGATCAGATAATTAAGCGGGAAGCGGTAGGTGCTTCTTATCACCGATATTTAATTTTTGCGAAGAGATATGTCTCAAAAAAAAAAAAAAAAAAAAAAAAAAAAAAAAAAAAAAAAAATTCGTTTATCATCAGTACTAATAAATGATTTCGCGGAATTTTAGGCGAAACAAGAAGAATTGGCCACTGAGCAAGAAGAAAAACCGACACCAAGAGGCCCCAAACGGGCACCTCTAAAACCTCAGGCACCAAAGCGTGCGTCGATCAGCGTGTCGCAACCCGCTAGAAAGAGACGGCGAACTGCAACTCCGCCTGAATCTGAAGAGGAACTGTCATCACCACCAAGCGAAGGAAGTGAGGAGGAAAAGGGAAAAGCACCCAAATCACGGAAGCGCGCACACCCAGAGAACAAGGCTTCTAAACCAGTGAAGCAAACTCCCAAGCCTAAACCAGCTCCATCAAAGGCGGACACATCATCAGAACTTTCCGACGTGATAGACGTATCGGAGAATCTTTCAGAAAGGACATCGTTGAAGGGAGCCACCCAAAAAGATGAACCCAGCGAGACCAAACATGATGAATCAGAAAGTGAGATGTCAGTAGTCATCGACGACGAGCCACCACCGAAAACTAAACGTCGCAAGTCATCCGAGTCCTTGAAGCAAGGGAAAACCAAAAAGCTTTCGAAACCAAGCACCGCCAGCAGCAGTAAACCAAAGGATGCTGCTGATGCTAATCCAGACCTGGAGGAAATCAAGAAGCTACAAGGCCAACTCGTCAAGTGCGGGATTCGCAAGATGTGGTTTCGCGAACTGGCCCCGTACGATACGCCGCGGGAAAAGGTGAAGCACCTCCGCCATATGCTCAAGGATGCAGGTATGGAAGGGCGGTTTTCTCTTGAAAAGGCAAAGGAGATCAGGGAGGCGAGGGAGCTGCAGGCAGATCTTGAGGTTGTGCGTGAGGGCGCGAAGAGGTGGGGGACAAACGTTTCCGACGAGGATGAAGCGGGAGATGGCGGACGTCCGCGAAGGCGGGTTGCAAGGGGCTTTCAATCTCTTAGTTTCCTTGGGGATGAGGATGGAGAAGAGACAGATTGAATGTTTCTTGAACTTTTTATTCCTTCTTGTTGGCCATTTATTCCCCTCGTTGGGCGCATGATGAGACATTGTTATGGAACGAAAATATATCCCTTCCATGAGTCCTTTTTTCTTCCTGTGCTGATGTTCAGTGATGATCTACAACGCCGAAATGGATCTATGTATGATATACGGCGAAAGTGCTGGATGAGTACATGGCCTTGGCGATCTCCTCATAGTTTAATATATATTTTTTCCCAAAAATTTTCCTATGGATTCTCATTCTGATCCTGTTGGTTATTGATATGGTTTCCCGCCGCCCATGCGCTGGGCAACTAGACTGAAGACCGCGACTGAGGATATGAAGAGGACTAAGTTGTAGAACTAGCATTGGTGAGAAACAGTCAGGAGAGTAGAGGAAGCTCGTGTATGGTAATGACATATTCAAGCAAGGGAAATCGGCACATACAGCATTTCTGGAGTATTCATTCTCCTCAGCTTCTGTTCGAGATTCGACAAAGAGACGCCGTAGATTCGGGAGATTTGCCTAAGAGAGGGAGGTTCAATAAGCACGGTCTTCATAGCTGTGTAGGCATCGGTCTGAACCCACCATTTTTTGGCGGGAAACGAGTTTAGCGACACTGGCCAAACCTTGCAAACTCAATTGAACTGATTTGTCCCGTCAACATAAACTAATTGTAGTATATTTCGCTCTTCCCCGTCGGTGATTTATTCGTGGTTGGTGAACGGGACGCAGAGCTGGCTAGCATTTGGTTGTCACGACGCTAACTTAGTCACTTGCCCCCATCACCTTCGCGCATTTGGTCATGAACAAGACTAGACAACCAGATCACTCTCTTCTCACGCATTACAACAAACGACACAAAACTTGATCTGCTGCATTTCCCCCGGCTGAAGCGGTGCTGGCGTAGCTGTGCGTATTTCTACGTGCGCTCGGCTGCTAATTAAGTTAACGGCTGGACGACACTCGACTGTCCGCCTAATCGGCCGCCAAACAGCACCGTTGCTCTTCCCCGCTATTATCCCCGTTCACCAGAGCTCGCGCACCGGTCCTTCACGTTGCATTCCTATACCAAGGTGCAACTCTGTTGCCGCTAATTTCCATCTAGGAGGATGGCAGTAAATAGAATAAGAGGCGCGTTCGCTACGCCCAGGAAGGGAGAAACTTTTGAGCTGAGAGCTGGGCTTGTGTATGTCTATTGCAACAATACGAGATTTGAATGAGGGTCTCTTAAATCAGTGCTGACATGGGATGTTTAGATCTCAATATGCTTGGGAAAGGTATTTCATACCTGATGCATTTATTATTACTCTGTCTATCGAATGATGAAAATTTACGCTGGTTTGCAGAAAAGAATCTATCCAGAAAACCATCATGGCCATGACTTTGGGCAAGGATGTGTCGGCGCTTTTCCCTGACGTCCTTAAAAACATTGCAACCAATGATCTGGATCAGAAGAAGCTAGTCTACCTTTATCTTATGTGAGTACTTCGGGACTTCTCTCTTGTTGATATTGTGCCTTTTCTTTAAGTGTACTAATCAGCCAACTACTGGGTTCCAGGAATTATGCCAAATCGCACCCTGACCTCTGTATCCTTGCCGTGAACACCTTCGTCCAGGACTCGGAGGACCCGAACCCTCTCATACGAGCGCTTGCCATACGTACAATGGGCTGTATTCGGGTGGAAAAAATGATTGATTACTTGGAGGAGCCATTATGGAAAACGCTGCGGGATGAGTCTCCATATGTCCGCAAAACTGCTGCAATATGTGTAGCTAAACTGTTCGATCTCAGCCCTACCACCTGCTTAGAGAACGGTTTCTTGGAGAGGTTGCAAGAATTGATTGGAGATCCAAACCCCATGGTCGTGGCCAACTGCGTTACCGCCTTGGCTGAGATCAGCGAAACCGCTCCTGAAACGAAAGCCTTACACATTACGCCAAATACATTAAGGAAAATGCTCATGGCCCTGAACGAATGCACAGAATGGGGCAGGGTGTCCGTTCTGACTAGTTTGGCAGACTTTAGAACGACAGATGTGAAGGAAGCAGAAAATATATGCGAACGAGTTGCCCCTCAATTCCAGCATATCAATGCCAGTGTGGTTCTTGCCGCTGTGAAAGTTGTCTTTTTGCATATGAAAATCATTAATCCAGAAACTGCTCGGTCGTATTTAAAGAAGATGGCTCCCCCGCTAGGTGTGTTTATTGAAACAGAAGTGGAGGCATATTTTCTGTGATGAGATGCTGATATATTTTCTGTTTCTCAAAAGTTACACTCGTCTCCTCCGCCCCGGAAGTCCAGTACGTTGCTCTGCGAAATATCGATCTTCTCCTCCAGAGCAAGCCCAACATCCTTGACAAGGAACTGCGGGTCTTCTTTTGCAAGTATAACGATCCGCCGTACGTCAAATTCCAAAAGTTAGACATCATGGTCCGGATCGCGAATGAGCGGAATGTAGATCAACTTCTCGCAGAATTAAAGGAATATGCCCTGGAAGTCGATATGGATTTCGTCCGGCGTGCTGTCAGAGCCATTGGGCAAACAGCAATTAAAATTGAGACTGCGACGGAGAAATGTGTTTCCACGCTACTTGATTTGATTAATACTAAAGTGAACTACGTTGTCCAAGAAGCCATTGTCGTCATCAGAGACATCTTCCGCAAATATCCTGGCTATGAGGGTATTATTCCTACTCTATGTAAGTGTATCGACGAGCTGGACGAACCCAATGCCAGAGGAGCGTTGATATGGATTGTGGGCGAGTATGCGGACAAAATCAGCAATGCCGGTGATATCCTCGCTGGCTTCGTGGACGGGTTTAAAGAAGAGTTCACGCAGGTTTGTTTTTAATATTCTCTTGCCTATCGACTCCAGATCCAACTAATCATTGGCTTTCTAGACCCAATTACAAATATTAACAGCTGTGGTTAAGCTGTTCCTAAAACGGCCGGATAAAGCTCAAGGCCTCGTCCAAAAGGTCCTTCAGGCAGCAACGGCTGAGAATGACAATCCAGATATTAGAGACCGGGCATATGTATATTGGCGACTCCTCTCGAATACAACCGACCAAAATGCTGCAAAGAATATAGTCCTATCAGAGAAGCCTCCCATTGTTACGACTATCCAATCTCTACCCCCCGCCCTGCTCGAGCAACTTCTTACAGAACTATCAACACTCGCTTCTGTTTATCACAAGCCGCCAGAACAATTCGTTGGCGAAGGCAAATATGGCGCCGATGCTGTCCAAAAAGCTGCCATTGAGTACGTAATAATACATCGTCGATCTGCTTGATTATTTCATTCTATTTCGCCTCCCTGCTAATATTCTAAACCTAGGGAACAACTCCAAAACGCACGAGACAACCCATTGGCCGCTGCGGCCGCTGCTGCCGCTGTTTCCGGAAATGCTGCTCCAGTGCAACGAAGCAATATCGAGAGTCTGCTAGATATCGACTTCGACGGTACAGCACCTGCGTCTGCGCATAAAGAGCCGCCAAGCGGCATGTCTGGGCTGGAAGGACTAGCCGGAACACCTGTCCGGGTTCAGTCGCCGGTTTCTGGTGCTCCACCACCATCCAGTAACAATCTTGAAGATTTGATGGGCGTATTTGGAAGCGGACCAAATGGAGGTGACCTGTCCTCTAGTGAAGGCATGGGAACACAGGATGGCAGTGGTCTAATGAATGGCTTTGCGGGCTTAGATCTTACGGGGTCAACAAGTAATAGGCCTACGCCTCCTCCGGCGTCCGGGGCGACAATAAGCAAGAGTAACCAGGATATCCTGGATTTGTTCTAGCCAAATGGATGGGATGGATCTGGCAAAGATGAGGAGGGGAGGCAGGGGGGCTTAATGATCTTCTGTAATAATTTCTTTTCACCCTTGTCCTCCGGTTTGACCAAGTTTGGAAAAAGCGTAATATCGGGATAGACAAATGGATGATTTCTTAATACTTTTAGCTCGGCATTCTCCATCCATAGATAATCATTGTTGACTACTGCAGTTGATGGTTGGTTTTTGGTCGACGGAAATGCATATATTTAGCGGATAAATAAGTTTTATGGGCTAGTTAGTTAACTTAGTATAACCGCATTGCCGGATGATGTCAGGAATTCCCACCTCCTCCCATCCAACTTATAACAACACACCTAAAAAACTAAAAGTACCTTGACGACAGATATAATTACCAGTTGACTACGACTACTTAAATAGGTTTATATATGCACGATTCATTTTCCATATCCTATTTCCATAAACTGACCAAACAATTAAACACTCATCCCACATGTCCGCGACCGAGGACTCCTTTAGCCCGCCTTCTCCCCTATCCCAAGCCGAGTCCCAGTCCCAGTCCCAGTCCCATTCTCCATCTGCGGCTTCCTACTTCTCCTATCCTGTCAGTCATGTCGTCTCAGGCCTCTACAGACGCCTCACAGAGCCAACACCCTCACGGCACCCCGCCTCGAAACAGCCCTCTTTAGATCCCATGAGCGTATCCGAAGTCTACAACCCTCCACACCGCACCTCCTCCCCGTTTCAGCCTCCGCCGCTCACTCCTTTAACTCTTACTGCAGCTGGAAGCCCGGCCCGCCTCCTCCTCACACGCTCCTTAGCGGAGGAAATCCGGCTGCTCGTCCCCCCTCGTTTGCAGCTGCTGGATACTTGGCAGCTGGCTTATAGCCTGGATAGAGATGGGTCGAGCTTGTTGACGCTATATGATAAGTGTAAATATTTTGGGAGCAGGAGTCAGAGGGCGGGGTATGTGCTCGTGGTGAAGGATTCGTCAGCCGCCGGCTTGGGTGGTGTACGGAGTCCTGGGGCCAGCGGAGGAAATGTGTTTGGCGCGTATCTCACAGACCCCCCACACCCCGCTTCGCATTACTATGGGACTGGGGAATGTTTTCTTTGGCGGGCTAGTGTGCTGCATCCTGTGCCATTCAGACAAGAGCGTACCACGAATACTACCACAAACGATTCCGGACGTGAGGCGATGACTACCAGTGCGGGTAGCAGGGCAGTGGGACAACCGCCGTTGATTGAAATAAATAATGACCTACTGGAACTGGTGGGTTTACCGTTACCTCCCAGTGCGGATACAACACACGTCCGCGGTAGGAGTACAACGCTGAGAGGTGAGGAACAGAGTAATGATGATGATACAAATTATAACGGCGGTACCTTCTCCAAGCTCTATGAGAGCCCATCACGCATTGGCGATGGTCCAGATAGCACCGCCAATACTACGAAGAGGAGGGATGGGGATGGCAGCCGCAGCGGATATGGGGGACATCTCTCACCGACCCAGCGGAGTGCGTCTCATGATGATACCAATGATAGGGGCAATGGCAGCTTTGGTGATGGTGGTCAAGATTCGTCGACTAACCTTTCAGCAGGTGCTAGCCGAAGCGGAAGTGGAACCACCACACCGGAGCGGATACGGTTCAAGGCGTTCCCCTATAGTGGGGTTAATGATTATATGATTCTATGCGAAACGGGGTTTTTGAGTGTTGGGGGCGGGTAAGTCTACTTTTATTGCATTATTATCTCTTTTCACCCCATGACACTTAAATATAAATACATCCCTCTCCTCCCATACTCTGGAATTGGCAATCACATACATGGTTTAAGAGTAGGGAAAGAGAAACTGGTGGCTAACTACACCCTTCTCATGCATTGCCTCGCTCAGGGATGGCCACTATGGGCTTTGGCTCGACGACTCTTTTGAGAAGGGTGTCAGCGACACATGTCCGACTTTTGGCAACGAGCCACTAAGCGATGAAGGAACGAAATTTGACATTTTGGGCGTTGAAATTTGGTATATCGGATCATAGAGTAGGAGCATCATTCACGGGCTGGACGGATGGAGGGGAGGTGCAACTCACTTAGCCGTTACTTCTTAATGACAATAACTTGGGATTCCATGTTTGTTGAATACTCCTTCTGTATTCACGAATGGGTTATTTATATAAGAATGAAGGTTATTGTCTTTTTGTCTTTTTTTGCTTTGCAATTCTATATTTTATTTTATTTTATTTTTTTTTCTTGGTTATTTATGTTGCAAACTCCTTGCCCGCTATTACAATCGAATTCTTATCAGAGCATACAGGCATGACATAACGAATGTGTTCACTTAGTCTTTCTCGATTGGCTCTAGCTAACCATATCACTTGTCCAATGGTATTTACTATCTGGGATGCTCATTTCGCCATTCCTGGCTCCACTTATCCGTTCCTCCTATTGAAGTTGGCGTTTTGAAGAAAAGACTGAAGCCGAAAACAGGATGCATGTACTATCTGTTGAGCCTAGTAATATCCATTCAAAGAGAGACGAAGAAAAAAATGCATCGATAGTCACATACATTAGGAATAGAGCTGGCGTGGAAAGCATTCCTTCATCTGTAATACGAGTTTACATCTCAATTCCTCTCAGCAAGTAGTAAGTTTGGTCGTGGATAGCCATTACGATTGATTGATCGTCTCTATAAAAAACCAAACGAGAGGGAATTCAAACCTCCGATCAAATACGGAGCACTTGGCGCTGTCTGATCTCTTGATATTCATATGGCGATACTGGTATCTTTTCAATCAAAATCTACCATACGCAACAAGGTTGGCTAAACCTACAGAGCAAGGCATGGAGAGATCCTATTTCGTGTATGATTCACAAACCAGAAATCCAAAGAAATGTTCATTTCCATTCCGTTGCTATCTTTCTAAAGTTTTAAATTGGTAGGCTATATACAAAAGGTTCGACCTTGTCACTCCCCTTCAGACCTTGTGAATCCCATCAAGAGAAAGGTAGTGGAAAAAAGATCGAGAGGGTAAATTGGGGATGAGAGGAGTGGATGCCAATGTGGGACATGAGGGAGAGAAAATCAAGTAGAAAACATCAAGAGAAATAAAGCAAGCTGAACGAAACAGCGGAGTGGTAGGACTGAAGCATCCGATGATGAGTTGAGTTGCATGGCTTGCTCGGAAATGGAGATGGCATGTATGGTGAGGAAATAGTACCCAATGAGAAAATCTCACTGGGTAGAAGTAATAAAAAAATGTTTTAGGAGGCAAAGGTGACATTAGAATTTAAGAATCAAGAGGCTGTCAAGAAAATGCCGAGTCGTGCGGATTCAGAAATTAACCTCCCGTCATGAACGCCTACTAGCGACTGAAAGAAAGGAGTAGAGGGCAGCTATTTATATAAACATAGAAACAAGAACGCTCAGCTGGCCGCCGGGATATAAAGAAGAGGATCAAAAACAAATAATTGAGGGTGAAAACACAGCCCAAATCGTTGCAAAACTTGCCTGGGTCTACGTGGTTTATTGTGGCTATTCACATCCTCGATCTTCCTCAGACGCGCGCGACTTCTCCGCCCAGAGCTATGTCGGACAGGTCCTGCAATACTCTCTCTCGTTGGCCGTTTAAATGTCTGTTTCGCGACCATGTTGACTTCATTCAAGTGTGCAACAATGACATTCTTATCACTGCC